AAAAGAGAGGAGAGAGATATCATACTGATGATTGTTGTGTATTAGAGAATTGTTATTCTCTCTGACAACATTATACTGATGATATTGTTGCTAACGCTGATCGTGCTGTATGTCTCTTCACAAATCAATTAGGAGGTACCCATGTATTATAAGATAACTCAATTGTTAGGGCAAGGGTGTCTAATAGGCATAGGACTCCATTATGTTAAGGTGTTATAATGAATTTAAGTGTTAAACTCGATAGACTCAGTAAAGTATCAGATCAAAAAACTAAAAACTTTAAGATGATTATATCATGTGTTCCATGTATAATAATTTAGGTTAAACATTAAGGCATTAGCAGCTTAAGTTTACCAAAAGCAAGCTGGGGTGACCTTTACAATTAGATGGAATATGAAACTTCCTGACCTTGACTTAACTTCATTGTATTAAACGTGATTTGTGGAAAGCAGTATGTATTTAATGGGTTATTTTGCATTCAATGGTTTTCCTTGGATGAAGGGTGAGGGGTTAATATTATAATCCAAATAATTCAATGAATAATTAAATCAACATTTAATTACAATTTTAAGGGTCCTTAAATCTGGAATCCATTAAACATAATCTGTCCATACCTTCGGGAATCAATAATATTGATTACATGATACATAAGCAGCTCAGACAGACAAGATGAAAAACTCATTCATTAGAAAGTTAAAACCGGGATAATCAATACATCAGGACTTGAAATAAAAGCTTCCTGTGTCAAACATCTGTTCAAATTCATTTTCAGTCTGTGACAGGAACCCCACCTCTGAGATGCCTTGCAGACATGCCAATCACATGAAAGGTGGGTGTGGCCTGTCATTTTCAAAACATAGTCTTAAAGAAGCCTCTTCTGCATATGTTCTCTGTGTCCTGATTGGGCTGTAAGGTCAGCTTTGACTGTTGTCCAGCCCACAAAGTCCTGGTCCTCATTCGCAGAGAGCTGAAGATTGTCTGACAGCAGGAACCTGTTCTCCTGTGCTCCTGCTTCTCCTCCGCTGAACTCTCAGCTCCTTCTTCAGTTACGGAACCGCTCGCTGATTGCAGGAAGTCAATGATCTTGGGGGGGGGGGGGGGGGGGGGGGGGTGGGGGGGGGGGTATTTATCTGTTCATAACCAGAGACAGGTAACAGCGCAAGTGTTGTGGTACAGACAGGTACAGTGTGGTACTGACCTCCATGATGATAACTGGTCTCAGTTTGGAACTCTGGAAACCTCAGCCTGTGGAAATCTCTTCTGCACACACATGGGAGTGCCCCTACTGCAACAACCATTACTTAGTCAGACTGTACAGTCAGGGTACTAACAGTTAAATTCGACTATGCTGATAGGTCACTGTGACCTGAACCTCACCGACACTCTGAGCGACCTCGTCCCAGGTTGATGTCAGCCGCATCGTCCACGGACGCGGTTGTACAATCTGAAAAAACACACACAACACACGTTTCAGGTTTTAGGTTGAACCCCACCCCCCCGTATGAGGTCAGATCAGGGGTGTGGTCTGGTTCAGGTGTGGGCAGGTGTGTCATGTGACCTTACATGTTATGAGGTGGAATTTTTGCCTGAATCCTTCAGCTCTCGGTTGTTTGGTGCTGCCAACTGAGAACAGCTTCACACTTCAGGAAGGTGAACCTGAAACACAGAGAGAGAACACCTGAACACAGTCAGGAACAGTATCAGTCCTAAGGACCGGTATGCAGACCCAGCTGACACCTCAACCACTTGAGGCGACACTGGATCCAGGATATGGTTCCGACCTGCTGACTGTATCTCCTTCCAGGGGCAAGTTGTTCCACAGGTTGGTCTCTGGTCAGAACTCGGACCTGCAGGATTCTGCTGGGCCAACACCTCCAGGTGAGCCTTCCGAGCTCGTTTCAACCTGGATCTTGTCATCTGGACTCCACAACCCACCGACCTGGAGCTGCCACATGGACAAGAATCGAGTCTGAACTGCGAATCCTGCTTTAAATATTTGAAGGTGGAAAGACACAAGAAGATCTGAGCAGGTGTGGTAGCTGTATCGACCTGACCAGCCTCAGACCTGCACCGTCCCAGCAGAGTCAGACAGAGACATCTCCTGCTGAAGTCACAGTCCTGGTCTGAGGCAGACTGGCTTTTAGTCCTGAAGGATCTGGAGTCACACCGGCTCAGGGTTCAGGGTGTTACCGATGGGCGGCGCAGCGTTTCTCCAAGGCGAGTCTTCAAGGTGAGTCTACCTGATGATAAGGATGATGATGTCACCTGTCTTTCTGTCAGAGGATGACGTCTCCCGTCCGGTCTCCTCAGGTGCTGATCCTGGAGCAGGCCGATGGTAGGGGGGTGGAGCTTCGGTCGTACGTTTTACCAAATGGACCAATAGATGACAAGGTTCCTCTGGAGCGTTTCCTGGTTCCCATAGAAACTGTGGAGAGAGCGTCAGGACTTCTGTTTGTCCCGAACATCATGAAGAGAACGAGCAGCCTGCAGGCCATCGCCCACAAGTAAATGTCAGTACCCACAATGCATCACCCACGAGTGAACTGCAACACCCACAATATATCAGATACATGAACTACCGTACCCAGAATCCTCTGCTGCTGGATGTTCTATCTGTGACCTCAGTTCTTGTTTCCTGTTTCCAGCAGCAGGTTTTAAAGTAGAGGTCCAGACCCGTCCAGAGACCTGAGTCTTATGGGGTCAGGAAGGGTTCTGGTTTTACTGCTGGTCTCAGGTCTGTGTGTCGTCATGATCCGAGTGGAAAACATATTGAACTCATATTTCAGACAGGATGGTTTTCTCCAGTCTGATCCAGGTCCAAGTCCAGGTACTTCCTCTACTTAACTGTATAAAAAGTCAACTCTATAATCTACTGATGAATACGAGTCTCTCTGACTCAGGTGTTTCTGTTTCTTATTTTAATGGCTCGACTTTCATATTATTTAATTTCTTTTTCTTTCTGTGGTCAATAAAGATCTATTATCCATGTGTTTTAAATAAAGTTTGTTTAAAAGAAATTAAGTGTCAGTGCAGTCTGATTCTTTTCCTGAGTCCATTGAGGTCGAGGAGACGTGGTTAGAGAGGCTGTGAGGAGTCAGGGTTCATCTGAGGACAGGTAGAGACAGGCTCAGGTTTATTTTAGCTAATTTCTTGTACTGATTGACAGGTGAGCTTTACCTGTAGCCTACCTGTGGTTGGCATGGCCGTGCGTCACTCAGGAAACAGTCAGCCAGTCAGAAGAGAGAAGACGGTAACTCTGTTGTTCAATTTATTGTTTCCTCTTTTAAAATACTTTAATACTGTATGATAATGTATTTAATATAATGTTGTATTTAATAATGTATAAATATTTATAACAAGGCTGTGTATGTTTATTAATTAAGGTTCTTTTAAGATACAATTTTAAGGGTGTCTAATGTCTAAAAGGAGCTATATGTAGGTTAAGCTAATGTGACGTAGCTAACATTAGCATTAGCAGCTAACGTTACCAAAAGCAGCTGTTGACTTACAATAATGAATAAAACTTCCTGAACTTTTTACTTAAACTTCCATTGATTAACTGATTAATGATATAATTATGGTATTTTGCATAAAATGGTTTTCTTGATGAAGGGTTTGAGGGTTTAATATTATAATCAATAATTCAATGAAGTAATTAAATCAATTAATTACAAATTTTAAGGTCCTTAAATCTGAATCCATTAAAATAATCTGTCCAATAACCTTCTGATCAATAATATTGATTAACATGATAAATAAGCAGCTCAGACAGACAAGATGAAAAACTCATTTCATTAGAAAGTTAAAACGTGATAATCAATACATCAGGACCTTGAAAATAAAAGCTTCCTGTGGTCAACATCTGTTCAACAATTTTCAGTCTGTGACAGGAAGCCCCACCTCTGACAGATGCCTGCAGACAGCCAATCACAGTGAAGGTGGGTGTGGCCTGTCATTTTCTAAACATAGTCTCTTAAAGAAGCCTCTGTCTTCACAGCCTTCTGTGTCCTGATTGGCTGTAGGTCAGCTGACTGTTGTCCACCTCCACAAAGTCCTGGTCCTCATCGCCCAGAGAGCTGAAGATGTCTGACAG